TCTGTTTTGTGATATTCAACTTCTCCTACCAGTTTATTCTAGATTGAATGTGCCTGTTTTGTGATATTCAACTTCTCCTACCAGTTTATTCTAGATTGAGTGTGCCTGTTTTGTGATATTCAACTTCTCCTACCAGTTTATTCTAGATTGAGTGTGCCTGTTTTGTGATATTCAACTTCTCCTACCAGTTTATTCTAGATTGAGTGTGCCTGTTTTGTGATATTCAACTTCTCCTACCAGTTTATTCTAGATTGAGTGTGTCTGTTTTGTGATATTCAACATCTCCTACATTTTCAACATAATGCCCTCAAACCTCTCAGAATGTTTGAACATACATTATCACTGAACTAGTATATATATTTGTTTAGGGGCCAGCTGAAGGACGCCTCCGGGTGCGGGAATTTCTCGCTGCATTGAAGACCTGTTGGTGGCCTTCTGCTGTTGTCTGTTCTGTGGTCGGGTTGTTGTCTCTTTGACACATTCCCCATTTCCATTCTCAATTTTATGTATATTGAAGATGAACACCGGGGACAAAGAGAACTTGTATTATGTAATTATGAATACAAAATTGAAGAATTGCTTGTATCCCTGAGACTACAGTATTCTCAAGTTCTGCTAGTTTGTAGAGAATACCCTCTATATTGCACCGGACAAAATCACAATAAATAGTTAATACGGATCATAAACTAAACCGTTTATCATTTTCTCTTCAATTTCGAGCATCAATAGGTAATTGCGTTGTTTTATAATGCCTTTTATGTGTCATATCTAATGACCCTTTAATGCTTAAAACAACATTATAAGAATAAGAAAATTGTGATCAAGCTATACAGGGGCGGATCCAGCCATTTTAAAAAATGGGTTCCAACCATATGTTCCCATTCAAAAGCATTGATCGTAAAAAAAAAGGGAGGGGGTTATAACCCCCAGAACTCCCCCCTCCTCATCCGCCACTGCTATATCGATTTCCCCAAAATAGGTACACAAGATGAGATGTGTATATTTAATATACATACAATAAACTCATCATAGATATCAAGATTGAAATTGTGTACGCCAGACGCGCGTTTCGTTTACAAAAGTCTCATCAGTGACGCTCGAATTGAAAAAGTTAAAAAGGCCAAATAAAAAAGAAAGTTGAAGAGCATTGAGGACCCAAAATTCCAAAAAATTTTGCCAAATACAAATGTTCTTTCAGGTTTGAAGGCTCTTGATTGAAAACACTGTAAGCTTATACAAAATATGTAACTCTCGTCATTGATGTTGTGAAGTTTAATATCTTTAAAACAAAGTATTAACAAACACACCGAACTTCAAAGTAAATTTAAAAAGGGGGAAGTCCATAAAAACTGACAAAATCTAAATATGCAGTATTATCCAAATAATTTCATTGTTCAGGTACACACCTTTAATGTAGTTGCACATATGGTAAAAAGTTTAAACTATATGGGAAGAGTTCGACACATTTATGTTACACTTGTTATCGTAATCCCGTCCTCTTTCATCGATTGTGAAAGAACCCCCCCCCCCCCCCCCCCGGGAGCACATGTGTTCACCCCCAGTTTGAGAAGGGGTTCGTGTTTCTTAATCTTAAGTTATCATACTTATCAATGGAGTGTTTTTTGTTATTTTTGTTTGTCTTTTTTTTTCTTTTTGACAATAATGTTGTCTGTATTCATGGACATATATACTTTCTGATTGCCACCTTGGTTTTCTCTCTCCTTAATGTTTACACGAATCTGGTACCTGCTTTCCCGCACGTTCACCAATCTGTCCACAATGCGCCATAATACATATATATATAGAAAGATGCGGAAGGCACTGAAGGGACATTCAAAATTCATAAGTCGAGAGAAACTAACAACAACGTGGCAAAAAAATAATGAAAAACGACAAAAACAAACACGTTTATAAAACACTACATATAATTCCAAAGATTGAGCAACACGAACCCTACCAAGATTCAAGTATAACGACCTGTTTAGGATGTTAAAATACACAGCTGCAAATAATGTACATAAGTTTACCATTTTACTATATAGTTTAAATATAGTAAAATACCTAATTTGAAATAAGTTATCTTCACGTTTCCTTGGAGTTCGGTATTTTTGTAATTTTACTTTTCACAGAAGGAAAAAACAAAACTTATTAAAGGAGCAATATATTTACGACCAAAACCTGACTTTAACACAACTCTTTGTAAATACAGATAAAACCTTTCGTTGAATTACTTTCAGACATCCGATTGACTTGATTGGATGATTGTTTACAATTATAATCATAAAGTAAATGTCTGGTGTTATATTAAATATAATGTCAATTTGTCATTTTGCCTGTTATCAATGTCATAAATATCGATATTATTGAGTCATAGTACAACTGGGCATACTGTTAAACAAGGTACAGTATAGTATAGTTTTATATAGTACAAAATGCAACGGTACACAGGTATACATGCATAAATGGTATGATGGCGTGACAAGGTAGTATGGTACATATTTCTATACTATGGTATAATTTGAGGGTATCAAGCATGGCAGGTTTTTGAAAACTGAACTTTTTTCCAATTGATTTAGATAGTCTGAAACATGATTTGTGATTAGTTTGCTTAAATTAAAGCTATTTCCCTAATGCTTGTAGTTAAAAGGTTTGGTTGGGTTTGCTTGCTTTGTTTTTATAAATGTTTGCTCAAGCATTGTAATTAAGATTGACGTCTGCAATCAATTATAGATAGGTGGGACTTCAGCTTTTATATATTATCTTAGTACAGGTGAATTTTGTCAGGCCACTGTTGATTATTTAGGGCATACAGTTGGCCAAGGTCAAGTGAAACCTATCATGGCTAAAGTGGATGCAATTACCAAATTTCCTCCTCCTACAAATAAAAAAACAACTTATGAGATATTTAGGCATGATTGAATTTTACAGGAAATTCTGTTCACATTTTCCTACTGTTGTTCAACCACCGACTCATCTTTTACTTAAAGATTCTAAATGCATATGGAGTGATAATTGTCAAAACGCTTTTGAAAATAGCAAATCACTTTTAGTTAATAATCCAGTGCTGATCACTCCAGACTTTTGAATAAAATTCAAACTTGCCGTTGACACAAGTGATGTAGTAGTTGGAGCCGTTTTATATCAAGAAACAGATGATAATGTTGAAACACCTATTTCATATTTTTCTAAGAAATTAGATAAACATCAGAAAATAATTCAACTATTGAAAAAGAGTGTTTTGCACTGTTGTCTGCACTTCCACATTTTGATATATATCTAAATCCCACTATGCATCCTATTCTTGTGTATACTGATCATAATCCTCTCACCTTCATACAAAAAATGAGAAACAAGAACCAGAGGTTGACTAGGTGGATTTTATTGTTACACGAATATGATGTTATTGTAAAACATATTAAAGGTAAAGATAATGAAATAGCAGATGCTTTATCTAGATCTTATAAAAACAATGCATACATACTATATTTTTTGTATATATTGTTCATGAAAAGTTATCATCAATTTTACAACTTTTGTCACAATGTATTTGCGTGGATTCTTTTAAGTTGAAGTTTTGCATTGTATTGTTATAACTTCTGATTTATGAAAAATATAGACACTTTTAGCTTTCAGCGGAGATAACTAAGATAATTTATTTCTTATAGAATGTATTTCAAATTATTCATCGTGCTGTGCAGAAATTAAATAAGTGCAATGATCCAATTTTTGCTCTTCATTTTCAAAAAGAATGTTAAGAGTTTTCTTGTCTGCGTATTTAATATTCACGACACATTTGCTACTGGAAGGAGGTATAGCAGGCAACACCCAATTAATCGATCAATCAATCCTTCTGCACACGTATTCTTGCAATATCGTGTACGATATAACGTGGGAATTTTGCACAACTTTTAGGTAAAACAAGCCCGATGTCCTATCCTTTGTATCATTAGTTTGGAAATAGCACGATGCAAACTACATTTAAAATACGCAGGAAAGTATTGTTTACACTTACACGTTACATTAACAGATACATTATAGAACATCAACAGGAATTTTTTTCGCCTGGTATCTATGATGAGTTAATTTACAAAAACTAGGTTTATATATATCCCGTTTTATTAAAAATAATATGTTGTCTCCAGTGTTGCAGAACATAAAAAGGTAACAATTAATGCGATCTTTCTCTGTTGTTCCTTTTTTATAATTTTGTCTTATTACTAATAACGAATAATGGTAAACAATCTTGCCAAATGACGTTAACGGTAATTTTTGGTGCATGACGATAAAATGTACATTTTCTTTATGACGATAAAAAAAATCGACTGATTTTTAGGAATCACGTTAAATTTTTTCCAAAAATAACGGTAACGGATAATTATTTGAGACCTCTGACGAATCACGATACGGATATTTTGACGAATCACGATAAAATTTAAACCAATTTGACGCTAACGGTAGCCGAAAATGACCGTTTGACGCCTGACGGTAAAGGGCATTCCTGTCCTCCTTCAAAGGTATAGGTTTGAGCGTTCCTGGTGCAGCTAAATCCAGAAAAGAGTAATTTCAGAAAAAGAGGACAAAAGTAACAAACTCTTTACGATCCCCGAAAGTCATTGAAAGATCGTAACTGTTTTAAATTAAAAAAAAACAACAAATAATGAAGCTAAAGAGAAGATTTTTTCCATCAATCTTCATAATTGTAAGGTAGAAAAGCTTTCACCACGGCAGTATTACCGTTAATGAAAAAAAGAGAAGTCAATTTTGACGGAAAATGTTTACTTTTTTAAGCGGTAAGAACTAAACCATATTAGATATAAACAAAATAAGATTTCCACATGTATTAGAATAATTTGTTACTGACGGAATCATCCGATTGAATCATGAACAGTTTCTAAAAAAGGTTTATCCTTAGTTACTGTTATAACTGATCGATCTTAAACCTTTTTTTAATAAGAGACAGCACTTTCATGATGTACAAATACTTTATCAATTTAATGTCAATGGCTAAAGGGGAAGACAAATACCTTAACAATTTACTGTCAATGGCAATAGGTGAACACAAATACCTTAACAATTTACTAGCAATGGCAAAAGGGGGAGACAAATACCTTAACAATTTACTGGCAATGGCAAAGGGGGAAGACAAATACCTTAACAATTTACTTGCAATGGCAAAAGGGGAAGACAAATACCTTAACAATTTACTTGCAATGGCAAAGGGGAAGACAAATACCTTAACAATTTACTGGCAATGGCAATAGGGGAAGACAAATACCTTAACAATTTACTGGCAATGGCAAAAGGGGAAGACAAATACCTTAACAATTTACTGGCAATGGTAAAGGGGGAAGACAAATACCTTGACAATTTACTGGCAATGGCAAAGGGGGAAGACAAATATCTTAACAATTTACTTGCAATGGCAAAAGGGGAAGACAAATACCTTAACAATTTACTGGCAATGGCAAAGGGGGAAGACAAATACCTTAACAATTTACTGGCAATGGCAAAGGGGGAAGACAAATACCTTAACAATTTACTTGCAATGGCAAAAGGGGGGGACAAATACCTTAACAATTTCCTGGCAATGGTAAAGGGGGAAGACAAATACCTTAACAATTTACTGGCAATGACAAAGGGGATAGAAAGAAGCTCATTCATCAAAACAAATGAAAATATAATTACGAATATCATTTCATGTACCAAAATTAATAAGCAGGATGTCATGTCATGTCGCAAGAAAATAAAAGCTTACAATAACTACTAGTACTAAAGACAAAGATTAAATTTAAGTATCGCAAGTATTATTCGACTTGAAAACATTTTACCATCGAGAAAAAAATAATTTGAGATTAATAATATTTGCTGGGAATGATTGTTTTTAATAAACTAAGTTTGTATTTCACAGGATTCTCATGTATTCTCGGTGATAAATGTGTTGTGTATAAAGAAGGTGAAACCATACCAAGTCTTCCTAATGGTGCTAGATATGGCAGAACGTGTCATAATATTTTTAGAGACAGAAATAATTACTGTGTTGAATGGGATTGCCCTAAAACAGACTGTTCTGATCCAATTGTGCCAGAAACTGGTTGTCCTTTTTGTGGAGGTGAGTAAGAGGTGGAACATATTTATTAGACAAGGTACCTGCATGCCATGCCGAGGGTGTGCCTTTATAATCAAGTTTACAATACCAAAATACGGTGTTTGAAGGAGACTGAAAAAAGCATTCCCACTTCAACAGAAAAAAACTGTTTTTTTTTCAATTTTAACATTTACATGCTTGCATACGTCTTTTTTCAAAATTATTCGTTGCTCTTTATAAAGTTTATTATTTACATGTATTGGTTTAGTGGAGCGGAAATATGGCAAAATAGTTCATTTGAAGATACAAGCACCAAATTTAGTATGTAGCTCCATAATAGTCAAGAAATCGCTGGCCATCGGAATTTTTGCATTTATCAAAATGGACGTTTAAAAAAATGCGTAATTTTGGTTATAAAAAAATTGTAAAAAACGAAAACAATCAAGAGATCTACCTTATTCGATTTATTATAATGGATTTACTGTCATCAAAGTCTCTTACTGTTAGAACAAATGCATGTTGACAATTTTAAAGAATACACTTATAGATAAATCGTTTGAATGGACGAGTTATGATCCATAACAAAAATAACTTTTAAGATAAAATTAAAACATTTAGTATTTGGATATAAAATTTCTGACTACTTTTTAACAATTGTTAGTTTTTCTATTAACAAAGCGTATTACATAATCAAAAGACAAAAAATGTCAATGTTTTTTTTTCAATTTTCATTAATGAATTCAATAGAAGAGTAAGTGTGACAATTCAAAATAATATTAAAGTAACCATTAGAAAACATTTGAACAATCTTTATGAGTGATATTACTGAATATATATCTGATGTAATATGAATTTTACAACTAATTACTGCCCTGAGTAATTAGTGGAATGTAACAGGGAACATCAGGAGGAGCTTGGACTCCTGAAGTATATTGTAACAAGCCAGTAATTGAAATACATATTTAATTATGTTGAAGTTTTAAAAAAACTATGTATGATTTACTATAGGTGTAAATTAAAAAAAATTATGTGTGATTTTATTTTGGCTGGCCTGTTGGTTTTAGGAAATTTTTACTTGAATTAATTAAATGAAAAAAAAAAATAGCCTTATGTATTTAAAAGTGTCTTCCCCAGAAATGTTTAGTGCCCTATAACATTTTGATTTCATGGTTAGACATATAAAATTTTGAAAAAAGCCGTAACGAATATTTAGTCGGACTAGATAGTATATTGCACTAGCAAATGTTACTTACAATAAATAGTTCTAGTTTCTAATCCAGTAGGGTAAAAATTGGTGTTCTTGAATAATAATAAGCTTGTTTTCCTCCTTGGAACTCGTCTTATTGGGATCTTTGGAAAATTATTTCATGATCCTGCAGTTTGATACATAAAACATAATACTAGATTCCACTTTCTTGCATTCCTTGCATAGAATACGTTCTTGCGGATTATTTTGCCATTGAAAATCAAGCAAATAAAAACCTTCGCGAATTATCAGAAAATTTCTGATGATTGTTTGCTAACTAGATAAAATAGGCAAAATATACCAAGGGGCAATCAAAAGACATTATACATTTGGAGAAAGATATAAACAATATCATGGCCAAACGAAAAAAGATGGACAAATAAGCAACAGTCCGCAAAACACTACACACAAAAATAAAGATTTCCCGCTTAAAACCGAGAGCAAACTCAGATACTACGCAAGAGTAAGCATATCAAGTTCCTCAAATGGAACAAAAGAACGTATATGACCTAGACTACATAAGAAAATCTCATTCTTACTGAGAAATAACAAAATATTACATCAGTTTATATTAAACTTTTATCCTATTGTTCTCATTTTTGGTAGGATTTGAGAACATACCATGTAGTTAACGGTATTAAAATCCATTTGGATTTCAAATTTACAATTATAACTGATGTGAACAGTTGGACTTGTTTTACCCGCAGTGTAGTTTAATTGTTACTACATGAGACAAACATAGTTATTTTGTTTCAGGTACATGTGTCAATGGAGGAAGAGTTTTCAGAGAAGACGAACATTTCACATGCGATGATGGATGTAATGGATGTACCTGCCACTCTACCACACTTATGATGTGCTATATGCAAGAACCTCCAGAAGTGTGCAAAGGCTATGAGGAAGAAAAACGAAACACTTTGAGAAAAATACTCGAAGAATAAATATCTCATTAATCCTGTTATCATCTGTATTGTTTTAATTTCATTTAAATGTAGCAGTCTTTGTTTTGTCTAAGGGGCATATATAACGTAAAATTGGAATTGATGGTCATATAAAGTGTGTGTGGGGTTCATGGGGGTGGAAAAAGAGGGGTGTTACTAAGATTGAGTTTCGCCTTATACTCATTTTACACAAATGTTTCCGATATGTCTCAGAGCGCTATTCAGTACACTCCTTGCCTTTTAATCGTTTACAGCTATTTCCATGTCTAACAACAAACGTACCATTTGGAAAAATAAAAAGTGAACGGAACGTGTCTTTAACATAATTTTCTAATGCAATTTCTTTTCCGATTTAATTTTTAAGTTCTGTGCAAAAGTCTGAAAACGTATAAATGATTTTCATGGTTGGTCGCGTAATGCAAGTGAAAAATTTTTCACAACTGATATTCGATTTTTACGTCATCAAAACCAAATTCCCGCGGATTTCAGTGTCAAAAAGCAGAAGGCGACTCCAAATCTCAAAATGCAGCGAATGAATCGTGGAGGTGGCCTTGTGTTCCACGTCTTCTATCAAAAATGTATGCACATCGAAGTTTTTTGTCATAGGTTGGTATGACCGTTTAATGCAGAATGTCCACTAGAGAAGCAGATTGCACATGAAAACATAATTCTGCAATCTGCACGAAAACAAGAATTGTGTGTCTTCCCCTACCCTTGAATGCTCCAACCGACGCTTCTGAAAACGATTGCGATGTAAGGCTTCACGTTTTGTATCAGACCATGTCGACACATCCGTTCTCGCTCCTTTAAGAGTTTATACGATCCCACAGTTTTTGTTTGTTACCTTGACTTGTATCTTCTTAATCGAATTATGAGATTTGAATATCGATAAACTACTGTTATCTGAATTTATCACAAGCTGATAGTTGCGCAAAGCCTGGCGATAAGTTTCCTATTGGAAAAAATCCTCAGTTTGTTTTTGATCATATATTCTTAAAAGCGAATACCATACATTTCTGGCTGCTAAACGGGAAATGATTGCTGTATAGTTAAGTTAACCTTTTTTTTTTTATTTTAACGCTTTTGCATAACCAGTTACTGAATAATTATAATGTTTGCATAACACCATTCCTCAATAATATTTTTATCCAAGGTTTTCTTCTTCATAAAACGAAACACAACCTTGCCTTCCAGAGTAAAAGTTTGAAAGTGTGAAACAGTTTCATGGCCAATAATTTGTAATGTAGTTTGATCGGTGATAGATTGTTTGTGGACTCAAGTGTGATATTAGAACGTGGTAGTGAGGTCTGTTGTCCCACTTGGATATCCAAAGCCTATGTATTTAATGTCCGTAAATTTGCCTTTTCTGTTTCAACTTCTTGGCATAAATATGCCCATTCTTTTTAATTTGAAGATCTTTTAATTGGTTTTTTTCAAGCGCATTCAATGCCGCCATATCATCGTCGTGTACAGAATGAAATGCCAGTGTGAGTGTCAATTGTACCAAACTTTTCCTTTCTGAACTCTTCGAGTGATTCACGAAATTCCTCGTCAAATGATAACAAGAGCAACCGAATCTTTAAAAAAGCCTACGCTAGAGTTCATAATTTTTGGGTGATGCAGAGTCTTCAGAGCTATATTATCCAGGTCATTTATACAAATTTGGAAAAGAATCGGAGTAATGAACCCCTCTGCCCTAAGCTTAAGATATACATAAGTGTGCATTGCTTTTTTTCCTAAAATATAACTGAAACTATGCCATTAACTTTTATTTTACATCTATATTATCTGACCATACATTTTGTGTGTTTATGACTTTTGTATGTGTGTGTTTATGACTTTTGTATGTGTGTGTATATGTTGTTATTTAGTCGATTTGAAAAAGACACACTACACCTTGTGTTTATGTAGTCTGTTTACAGAATATCAACTTTAAATAAAACTTCGCAAGCCTCGAAAGATTTCAAAGAAAGATTGTTCCATTTTAAAGCTAACTTAATTTTCGTTCACTTCGATTTTTGATCAACGTCTTTGATATAAAGAGACTATCTGTTGTTTTTGTTTTCTCCAAGTTGAAAGTTTGAATTTTTTAATTCTACTGCCCAAAAATGACCTTTATCATGTACGCTCGGGAGTAAACTTTAGTGAAGCCAAACAGGACAGCCAATTTCATCTAAGGTAGTTGGAACCTTAGCTTCTTAACAAATTCCTTATTCATAAACGGGGAAGTACTAGTATATATTATAAAGGTTCAAAACTAGCTTTGGACGGACAAGCAATAGGAATTCCTGTCATTTAATGTTTGTGTTAGATGTTTAAAGATTTCTTTTCAAGAATCCAAGACTTTTGTTTCCGTTTGTATGTTGTGTCCATTTTAAATCAGCTTGAAGAGTGATGCCATTGTACATTGCAGAAGAACATACTAGTATTCTAAAGTGGCATTGAGGAGAATACATTTGTGTTTTATTGGATTTTTCTTGTTTGTGGTAGTGAGTACTGTACATTTGTCTGGACGGAAAGCCAGCAGGCATTCATCTTCCTACTTTGCTACAGCATCTATGTCTTCTTGGAGCTCAAACTATCACAATGTTTTGAGATTTGATAATTTTGTAGACAATGATGTCATCAGCAAAACGTCGGAGTTACTGGAATTAAAATATTTTGGTAAGTCGTTACAAAATAACACTACCTAGGACTATTCACTGTGGGACATTAGATGTGACTGGAGCAACATCTACTGACACCCCATCTAGAACTACTGTGTGTGTGCGGTTTGATGAAAAGGCAGATATCCAGTACAATGGTTTGTTTCTTACTCCGTAAAAGATAAGTTTGTATAAGAGTCTGGTGTGGAACTTTATCAAATGATTTGGCAAAGTCCATGAAGATGAGGTCAGTTTGAATGTAATTGTTTGAGTTAGGTTATTTTACAAAAGACTATATATTTATGCAGCAGAAGTTTACCGATGTTCAAACCTCGATTAAGGAGATACAAATCAAGGAGACGAACAAAAACTGACAGAATCACAAATTCAAAAAGGAGCGAGACAGGTGCGTCGACAGCGTAAGCATTTCCTGTTATGCATGCATCACCCGTAATGCAAATCTACACTCGGTGGAAATTTCACATTGGGAATGAGAAACAATCAATAAAATTAATAATGAGACGACTATTCTTGTGTCTATACATCCGAGACAGCGAAAAGATGTCGCTAGTGAGTTGAGACACAGACACGTTGAACACAAATTCGCGATGATGACCATTTATCCCCGCCTTAGTATATTTCTCGGGTTTTGATTGGCTAATGTACGTCGTTAAAAAACCCATTTCCTTAGTTCCGTGGTTGTTCCCGGTGAAAAATTGAATTCTGTAGATTATACATGATGTCTGTATTTAAATATGTAATCCACTAACGTCGTCAATCAGGACTACTGGTCTTGTTATGCAAATGATACAGGTTGACGTCACGCCGTCTATGACATAACGCTTGCGACATTGACTGCCAAATTTGATTCATTCCAGTTTCTCTGTCTCTGGATTAAAAACGTCTTATATTTGACTACCTGTAGGGTTCTACTAAAGGTAGAACCCTACACCCCGTAAAAAATGTCAAATTTCAAAATTTCAATAAAACTTTTTTAAATAACAAAAAAACGTTGCTTTCACGTTACACTTTGTGCCCGAATTTCTCTTTCCGAATCGGACTAAGATCGGGGATAAATTCGTTATCTACGTTTATATCCGTAGATATGGGTATTTTAGCACCCTTCAGTACCTTGTACACCCTTTGGCTTCATACTTCCTCATTACTCTGTTGCACCAATGTTTGTAGACAGAGCACACCCCCTGTTAATGAAGTATGTATAGTGTGAACTTGCACTACCGTTACATGCTAATTGAAATAAACGTCATACGATTGGGCAGAAGGTATGTTACTGCTGAGAAATTAAGAGTTGACAATTTTAAAACAGCACGATTATCATAGACTTTAGTTTGGAGTCGTCCATCTGTTTCCATATCGAGGAAAAAGATATGAAGCAAACCTTTCATTTTCCGTAGTATCGTTAGTCTCAAGTTCACTGGGATATATGAGCTGCAAGCACTCACTAATTACTGTTGGTTAGTGAGTAAGAGGACATAATCAATACATCTGAAGGTGAAATTAAAGAACCATGCACGGATGCTTTTTTTGTCTTTGAGAAGGTTCTACTAGTATATGAATACTTCTTCACATGAGTACAAAAACAAGTCGGCCGGTAGGGGTGCACACCTAGACCTAATTGTGATACCGACTGTCTGTTATCAATCCAACAAACTCAATAAATAAATTGTCACATCTTTGGTAAAATTTTTGTTGTAATCATAGGGGTACGGTTCTTCACAAAGTAAGAATTTTATGATCTAAAACAAGTGATTGTGAACTACGATTTCAATTTTTGTAGAATAAGACGAGGATACTACATTTTTCAATTGAGCATGGGGAGTTATGTTAATACAAAAATGTGAAAAGCATTATGATTTTTTAAAATCTCCTCTTGCGTGAATGATGGACAGGTATATGTGGAATTCCCAGTTTTGCTGTGAATTACAAGTTCTACAGTAGACATTCCAAATAATGATTTTTGCAATTAAAAACAATTTTGTTTGAGGCTTTGTCTGCTGGAACAATATTTCTCGTGAAGAAAGGATGAGGCGTTTACAACCTCTGGGTTCTTTAAACGGTTTGAAGCCCGTGTGCTCATTGTATATCGTAAATTTTGAATGCGCTTCTGGATACATGACCGAACAGCTTTGTTCCATTAAGATAGTGTCCATTTTTTTCATCTGGCTCGCGTTTTACCAATTTCTGGCAAAGTCATCAATTGCATCCATCAGTACCCTGAAGGTCTTCCAGTTGATGGGCTTTGGAAATCGGTATTCCTAGACTTTTGCTAACAACTCTCTGTGTTTCCCATTTCTTACGATGCCAATGTATATAGTTAATAACATTATCACTAGGAGTAATAAGTGTAAGAGGACGATGAACAAGGGCAACTGGCAGGTTTCTTTCATATCCATGGGAGTAAAGATTTATAATACCCTCGCTGTTGAAAATCTTGGATGCAATAGGTTTGGTGTACAGGGTATGTTTGAGAAATGATAGTTGTAGTTTTATCTTTGAAGCAATTTTTGGAAACCTCCAGACGGGCATGTACACCTCACAATCATTCTATAAACCAAATATAATTGACCTATTGGTTATAGTTTCCAAGATACAGACTTGACTATGAAACTTTAACCGTGATCACTGATCCATGAACTGATGTCAAGGTAAGGTAAAAACTATCTGACGAACTATCAGCGGTCAAGGTCTGATGAAACCTACATGACAGATATTTTCACCTTACAATCATTCTATACATAAAATATAATTGGTAATAGTATCCTAAATACGGACTTGATCATGAATATTTTACCTTGATCACTGATCCATAAAATGAGGTCAAGGTCAGGTAAAAACGTTCTTACGAACATGCAGACCTTCCAGGAATAACATATACCAAATATAAGTATCCTAAAACTCATAATAAGAGCGACAAATACAAACTGTAACATTGCACAAGGTAATATTTTTTTTCTCAGACTGTCTATGAGACGTGACACTAAATCCATTTGATGTGTATTGATTGATTTTAGTCTGGGAGACATGATTTATTTATTAGTTGCACTGTGTGTACTCTTAGATCGGTACTTAGTGTCTTTATTATTCTTGTTAGATGGGTGTTTTGTGCTTTGTGTCGATCTGAGGAGTCACACCTTTTTAGACGGTTTTTATTGTTGTTTAATCCCGCCACATTCTGTATATGCCTGTCACAAGTCGAGGGGCCTGTAGTTCAGCGGTTGTCGTTAGTCACTGTCAATCATATTTGTTTTTCATTCGTTATTTACATAAATTAACTAGGCAGTTGTTTTTTCGTTTGAATTGTTTTACTGTGTAATTTGTGGGCCTCTTAGCCCATAAATTAGAAAATACTATTGGTTTTCATTGCTGAAGGCCGAGTCATGACCCATATTTGCTTACATCTTAGTTATTTGGTCTCTGATGAATAGTTGTCTCATTGGCAATCATATCACATCTTACAGTTTTACAGCACTCGCTGAGACATGAAAATGAGCTGAAGAAGAATGGACATATGACAGAGGAAACTTCGTAAAATAAGGAATATGTATACAAGGTATGAAGCATTCAGGTCTTTTAGCTTTTGAAATATAAGGCTTTATACAAACTGTTTTTGTTCATGAGAAGGAAAAAGAGAGGTGAAAAATACAAAATTGACATTCAAACTCATTAGTAGAACAAATAGATGCTCATAAGGGTAAGCAGATCCTGCTCCACATGTGACACCTGTCGTGTTACTCCTATAAAATATGTTGATGCATTATAATACTGTGTTTGCTCCACAAAATTTACATTATAATACTGTGTTTGCTCCACAAAATTTACTTTAAAGTACTGACAAACCTGTGCTCTTGTAAAATTTTAAGGCATTGTTTGAACTAGGTAAATAGGACTTTAACTATAAAAGATTTAGCAACTTTAAAACATTTTCTTGGAATTTGAGATTTCTTATTTTTCAAGCCTGTAGAATATGGTAAAATAAACAAACACCTGAATTTCGTCTGATACCGTCCTCTAGTTTTCACAGTTAAAATCACATATAAAAAAAAGGAATCTCAAATTGTAGGAAACAAGCGCTGATCCAGCCATTTTATAAAGAGGAGATCCCCCCCCCCCCGGAACACCATGCAATGTTCACATAATTAAATAAATACGGAATGTGCCAAAGGGACACAGCTGATTCCCCCGCTTGCATATGATATAAAGTTATAAAGGGACATAACTGAAGAGTGGTAAAAGTGACGCTACCCAAATTTGTACTTGATCTAAATTTTGTGGTAATAAGTATTGTGTATAAGTTTCATATTATTTGGTTGAGGCAAACTCAAGTTAGAAAACAGAAATGAAAAATTCAGCAATTTTTCCATTTGTAAAGGGCATAACTCTAGAACGGTTAAATTGACACCACCAAAATTCAAACTTGATCTGTATTTGGTGGTAATAAGCATTGTGTATAAGTTTCATAACATTTGGTTAAGGCAAACTAAAGTTAAAGAATGGAAACGAAAAATTCAGCAAGTTTTCCATTTGTAAAGGGGCATAACTCTAGAACGGTTTAAGTGACACCACAAAAATTCAAATTTGATCTGTGTTTTGTGGTAATAAGCATTGTGTATAAGTTTCATAACATTTGGTAGAGACAAACTAAAGTTAGAGAACAGAAACGAAAAATTCAGCAATTTTTCCATTTGTAAAGGGGCTTAACTCTAGAACGGTTTAAGTGACGCCACCAAAATTCAAATTTGATCTGTATTTTGTGGTAATAAGCATTGTGTATAGGTTTCAAAACATTTGGTTGAGGCAAACTAAAGTTAGAGAATGGAAACGAAAAATTCAGCAATTTTTCCATTTGTAAAGGGCATAACTCTAGAACGGTTAATGTGACACCACCAAAATTCAAACTTGATCTGTATTTGGTGGTAATAAGCATTGTGTAAAAGTTTCATAACATTTGGTTAAGGCAAACTAAAGTTAAAGAATGGAAACGAAAAATTCAGCAATTTTTCCATTTGTAAAGGGGCATAACTCTAGAACGGTTTAAGTGACACCACAAAAATTCAAATTTGATCTGTGTTTTGTGGTAATAAGCATTATGTATAAGTTTCATAACATTTGGTTGAGACAAACTAAAGTTAGAGAACAGAAACGAAAAATTCAGCAATTTTTCCATTTGTAAAGGGGCATAATTCTAGAACGGTTTAAGTGACGCCACCCAAATTCAAATTTGATCTGTATTTTGTGGTAATAAGCATTGTGTATAGGTTTCATAACATTTGGTTGAGGCTAACTTCAGTTAAGAGAATGGAAACGAAAAATTCAGCAATTTTTCCATTTGTAAGGGGGATAACTCTAGAACAGTTGAATTGACACCACCAAAATTCAAACTTGATCTGTATTTTGTGGTAATAAGCATTGTGTATAAGTTTCATAACATTTGGTTGAGGCAAACTAAAGTTTAGAATGGAAACGAAAAATTCAGCAATTTTTCCATTTGTAAAGGGGCATAACTCTAGAACGGTTTAAGTGATGCCACCAAAATTCAAACTTGATCTGTGTTTTGTGATAATAAGCATTATGTATAAGTTTCATAACATTTGGTTGAGGCAAACTAAAGTTAGAGAACGGAAACCAACTTTGGGACGTACGGACGGACAAGGTTAAAACTTAATGCCCCCTCCGCTATGGTGGGGGCATAAAAATTCAAATCATTAAGAAAAAGAAAAATCGGAAAAAAGGGGGGTGTCCAACCCCCAGAACACCCCCATATCCGCCGATGGGAAAGGTTTTAATCTGTTAAAACAAAAAAATCATTTATTTTCTTTACTAAGTTTCTGTCAAGCCTTACAACTTTTGCAGATCCAAAGGTTTGTCTATACTCAATAAATTTTGTAACCACTGTTCTAAGTGTACAAGTCTAATTCACAATTTTAGTTTATTTCTTGTATTTCATAACAATTAACAAGATATATATATAAAGTATAATGACAAATTATACTATACGAAGGAAATATCTTCTTTCTAAGCTAAATAATAGAAATTAGATGAATATGTCTTTCAAAAAGAAATACTTCAAATTAACAGCCCTACTCACATTTGTCTCTAAAATGTAAACTGAATTTATGTAATTTGATTACATCTATGTTTTTTGTTCTCACTGTAATTGATTAAATGTAATTTGAAATGGCAAAATGACTCATTACTGATTACATACAATTAATCAACAAACAGTTAGTCAAATGAGACTTTCCAGATATGTCTGAATAAGGATAAATCTGTCAAGATTCATGTTTAAGTCACTGCAAATTTCAACATATATAATAACTTAATGTAGAGCAAATGCTGAAAATTTGTGGTCAATATCATTTATAAACTGCTGAAAACTGACAAATAAGTGGATGAACAATTCAGTAATGTGATTAAATGATGTGTTTACAGAGTCACATTTTTCTATTCTTTCAACCACTGGTTTGGTCACAATGATTTTCATTTTGCAGGAATACAGCCTTTAGAACTAACTGGTCAATGATGTCACAAAGAATCGTTTTCCAGCTGTGAAGGACAAATCTAAAAATTTGGTGGACCACAAGTATGATTGTATAAACTGATACTTAGCTTTATCTTTCCAAATTTGCTTTCTTTTTAAACTCTTTTAGTATTTCAAAAGTTTTCTCTATGTTAATATAGTAATCTGTTTCTCCAGAAGTTGTCATAGGTTTCTGTGCAGAAATAAACTCTGATTCAACCTCGTTTTCATACTTATCAAGGACACCTAATTCAGTAAGGCATTTTCTAAGACCAGATTTCTTATAATCCTCATCTATAGAACCAACAGTTAGCTTTTCATAGTTTAATGCCATCCATAGGGCAATGATAGTGTCAAAATTGATTTTACCTTTCTGGAAAAAAAGCAAAGGCTTGCTCTGTGCAAGTAAAATATCCTTACTTACATTGTAAAAATTGATAAACAAACAATGGGTGGTAACAAAAAATGAAGGTATGAGATGATTCTCTAATTGTTTGTTCTTTTTTACAGCAACAAATGCATTGACAATTGTCTGAGTTATGGCTTCCATGTACTCCCTTTCAAATAGAAGTTGATGGACTGCTTTATCCTGTATATATGATGGTTCCACTTCTGCAAAACTATTTGAATCTAAGAGATCTTCAACATCTTGATCAAGCCTGGCCTTTTTCAAAGCAGGTTCACATTGTCCTTCTTCTATATTTTCTATCCAATCAGATGCCACCTTAACTACATTTCTGCATTCTCTGTTTTTAATAACTATATCTGCTCTGCCATGCCACAATCTTTTGCATCCTATAAAAGAACAAGACATGAATAACCCAACTTATCAGAAATTGATTAATGAATTTGACACTTAATCTGGAATATAGCATCAACTACTTTTGTAGCAATGTGACATCAGGCACATGCAACATTTTTTACGATTCAGTTTTAGAGCAACGTGTCATCAGTCACATGCAACAAATGATTTTAAATAACACTGAGTTAGTCAATTACAATGAGAAACAAAAATAGATGTACAATGTAATCAAACTACATAAATTCAGATAATTATTTATGATTGGGAAAAAAGGGGGTGGTTATAGGAAGTAGATTTTATAAGAGGTTCATTTATGTTATTAATTTAAAGCTAAAAAAAATGAAATAATATGAATGCCAGATCATCGGTTTATCATATGGGACCGTATGACATCAATACATGTAAAAACAAAATATCATTGAAGCTGCATCAGAGGGTCCTTGTGGCTGATTAGTTTTCAAAATCGACTAAAATCTTTATATTCCATTATATTTTCCTTAAATTTTTGTAAAAAATTGCTGAGAAGTTAAATAAAAAAATATTCAACTGAGCCATGTGGCTGATTAGTTTTCAAAATCGTCTAAAATCTTTATATTCCATTATATTTTCCTTAAATTTTTGTAAAAAATTGCTGAGAAGTTAAATAAAAAAATATTCAACTGAGCCACTTATCTGCTGTTACTTATTCATGTTCACTAAAATAACTGATTCAAGTTTCAATAAATCATTTCTTACAAAGTTACCTACGTAAGTAATAGAAATTGTTGCCTGTTTTAGTAATGCCCCTGCCGGGTGTCATTGGGAGAGTCTGCTGGTAGAATGGGTCATCGGATATAATTTTGAAACTAGACCCTTAAGGACATTTTTTTCCAAGTTTGGTTAAGAGTTGCCTAAATGGTTTCATAGATTTTTTTTAATTGTTCATGGAGATTAGACAATTGATTCCAAATAACTGCAACAGCTTAAAAAAACCCTAAGGCCAGCTGAGTTGAAAACAAGTTTAAATAGACAGCTGAAAACAGCTGCTAGACTTACCGAAATTTGTGTTGCCTGTTTTAACATGTTGGATACAAAATGGACATTCAGGTTCAGGATTTTGATTCTTCTTTGAAGATGTTTCACTATTGTAAGACAAACTATCAGCAATAACTTCTCCTTCAAATAACAGAGGAGTGAAAAGATGAACTGCTAAAACAGCCTGAATTTCTTCCTTTTTCAGTTTTTCTGATTTCGTTGTCATTTCTTGAAGACATTTTGAGTGAAATGTTACTGTAAATAAAAATAATCATTACAACCTTTATCTCATGCCAAAACAGAATTTTAAGACGTCCTCAGAATGCTGCATTGTTCAACTTGAATCAATCATATATAATTCAGTAGAAAAAAACAACTATATTTTTGTGTCTGTAAGACAATAATACCCCACCCCTGTATCATTATACAAAAAAAGGCTATGCCGGCACAGGATGATAAAACTGCAACATGCCATCAATTACAAAAGTAAGTGTGGACACATTATAATGCTTTGCTTGACACAGTATTTGCTTTATGCACTAATGTGCTGGAAACATGAGCAGTAATTTGCTGAATCTATTCTATTTTGGGCCTGTACAATGTACAAAATGTACCATGCAAAAGTGTAGTCTTTGGAGTGTTTGGTCCCTTGTAGCTGAAAACCCATAACAATTATGAATAATCAATAATATACAGCAAAAAGCTCTCAACAAAACGGGCAAAATCTTACGATTTGACATATGATCGACCTAAGATTATTGTAGGAATTTTTATGAAACAATGTCCTGGATTGGTTTATTGCTCAACAATGTACCATAATACAAATGGCAGAACAGAAACTCACATATATTTTAGATTACAAGAGTGAAATTATCCACAATGCAATTACATGTACCATATTGGGGTTCCTGATTTGCAAAAGATTACAAAAACAGACACTTTAATGGCTCCAGGCATAAAATCACAAAAGAAATTAAAGGAATATGTGGAACAGTAGCTCAAAAAATGACAAGAGATATATATTTCAATAGATTACAGGTACATTGTACATATAGCCATTAATTCCAGTTGCCAATATGACCATTAATTGGAGTTGCCTGTCTCTTGTACATGTATCAAATGTCTCTGATATGACTTAGTAAGCCTTACTTAAAAGGCACTGGCTACGATTACCCGCAAAAAGTAACAATAAGAAATAATAATTGTTAATTAAGAGACTAATTACAGAAATGTATTTCTGGATAGGGACCTGATTTCATGCGGATATTGCAGGTTCATTTTTGTATATGTACAAAAAATTTGTATCAATAATATCCTTTTTTATTTTTACCTGCAATAATTTACATTTGCAAATTGTCTTTTTTGTGTGTAGCAACAGACTGGCCCAGGTTTGTTTTAATCCCTAGGACTTTCCAGACAATAGAATGTAGATAAGAGGAATATAGTTTCCATTTTTAATCCACTAATGGTATAAAGCTGCTTAAAATAGTTTAATAATACACTGTACTGACTGTAGGGCAAAATTTTGAATGTGCCATCCATCATGTCCATAATAATTTTGTTTTATCTATGTTTTACTTGAATAAAATTTTTGTGATTTTATGGTCTTTATGGGTCATTTTTAAAAAAAATGTGTGAATATCATCCCTCAACTTTAGTAAATTTTGTTAAGATTATAACTAAACTTTCATGGGTAAAAAGCGCAAAGATCCGGTCAATTTGGTTCAGGTGTATAAAAATTTAAAGCGCAAATGTCTATATTGTTTGAGCGCAAGTGTCCTTTTGTGTTACAGGTAAAAATAAAAAGTGCAAATGTCCTGCACCGGGCAAACAAGAACGACATATTGGTCAATACATTTGGGAGATTAATCATGTTAATGTTTTTACATCATAATTTAGTTGTTAAAATTTATCTGACAGTTTGCTCACAAACCTACCATTTTTTAGATCAGTGGCTGTCTGAATATATTTTGTGGGTAACAATAAAAATATTATTGTTACCTGCAAATTTCCACATGAAATCGGACCCCTTTCCGGTAATACATTTCGACAATTGGTCTTGGAAGTAACAATAATTATTTCTTATTGTTACTTTTTGCAGGTAATCATGGTAATTGTAACCAGTGCTTAATTAAAAATGCCCCCCAAAAATTAGTATATGGACTCAAAATTAGGGTCAATCTCGGAGTGTTTTTCTCTTCCTATATAATTTCAATGAAACCTGAACAACACATATTATCGGTCTCACTAGTTAGCGACAAGAAGAATTTTAGCGACAAGAAGCTACAAGAAGCGTCAAGAAGCGACAAGAAGATTAAATTTAGCGACAAGAAGCGACAAGAAGACTTTTTAGAGACAAGAAAACTTAATAAAAATATTATTAAAATAAATATATTAAAAAATATATGCATTGACATTTTTATTTTAATATACGGAAAGTATAGTGATTTTCATTTTTTTTAAATATATCAGAGACATATAAATACATTTAGTATATGTTTCTGAATATATTGATAGATATTGACAGAGACATATAATACAATTATATGTCTCTGATATTGATAACTTGATATAGAAATTTCCCTGTCATAGTATGATATTAATTTTTACATGTTCTTGTGTTTTAGAACAATAATATATTTATTTTATAAATTTTTTAACACTCTCTTTGTCTAAAATATAATAAACTGACTGCATGCAAAATGCATTATACGTGAATCAGTGTCCAGAAAAGATAATGTTACTAAAACGTGAATATTTTATTTGGGTATTGACTTATCAAACAATATGCATGATGTTTATGCATAGTTTAAAGAGGGTGGTAATAGGGGGGTTGTGCTTGCACGGAAAAAACGTGAAATAAGACATAATTTCACGTTGAACGTGAAATAATTTCTGTCATGAACGTTGCACGAAAAATAAAGACTTTGATGTGAACCTTTTGTGACTGAGTCACTGTCTTCTTGTATATATGAACTCTCTGTTTTACTTCATATTCCCGATTTGGTATACACATTTATAATATAAATGGTTTGCGGCTTTTAAAAAAGTATATAACGATCTTCTTAACTTTTAAAATGCAAATATCCCGCAGACACGAAAGTGTATTCTTGATCTATTTCATTGTCTTTATTAACAAGAATAAACACGTTGTCATGTTATCGATGCCACCAGCTACCACGACTCGTGGTTAAAAGTATCAGAAATTGGAAGTTTGAACTGACAGATGATGGGAGGTGCAAACACGTTAAAGCTCATCACTGTTAAGATGTCGATCCTATTTAAAGTCATTCTTTTCATTTTACCAAAAAATTCAAAGAATCGCCAATGAGGAAGCATGTACATGTATCTAGGAGATTCGAAAAGTGTTCACATGTTAAAAACATATCAGATTTGAACTTAATTAGTATGAAGTCATTATGTAAAGTTGTTTCTTAGAAAAATCTAACGGAAATATTTGTTGGATTGACGAACAGAAGCACAAGTTGATTGTAATATATCCTAATCCTACAGCTTTCCCTAGTAATTCATACCATGCAGGTCTCATTGGTCCTTTTATTTTTTTATGTTTTCTAACATTACAATCATGAACTAGAGACATATATGGCAATACAGCAATCCATCAACATATTCATACCAGAGGACTATAGTATATGGTACAACGATTTTGAACTTATCGCAAACTGATTCAAATCGAAAGAATACGACAAAAATAAATATGTATGGCCCGTTACAAATTTGTTTAGACAATAAAATGTCAGTGTGATGTAGTTACTTAATATTTAATGAGCAATGTGTTAGGCCAAACCAGTAAATATATCTTGGAAGCTCCAAAATCGATAAGGAACAACATCAAAGGCCTTTCCGCTTTATCAAAAAACAAAATTGAGTCCATTTTTTTCTTGAAGATCCCTGCCAAGTGTTTGAATTTTATTTGAAAAATACCGAACACGCAAAATAAGCATTTCAAAATCACCATGCACGTAAAATTAAATAAGCAGAACATGTTGAACGAGGCACCTGTCTTGCACGACTGAATGTCAAATAAAAAAGTAAAAACACGTTGAACGTGAAATAAAAAACGGTGATCACGTTGCACGAAAATAACCCTTTACCACCCTCTTTAAAGTTAATTGAAGATCAAAGGTAATTAAAGACAATGTTGAGTGTTCAACAGTTGCTCACTATTTACAATTATTGTATTTTCTGGCGCGTGTAGTTGTATAGTCTGACGCGTGTACACAGTTATAGGTGTTAATTGAATGTCATTGTAGCAATACAATAAGGGACACACGTCCTTTACTCCAACCATGAATCTAATTTGTTTATCCTTAAGCGTCATTATGCTTCTATGAAAAGAAGTAATTCTTACAAGAAAATAATCAGCTGGTTCGAAAAAAATGCCTGGCCATTCTCTTGAAACCATGAATAAAGCAATAGCAGAATACATAGGTACATATCCTATTAAACAAACAAAATACTGCTGATGATATATGCAGGCTGTCATCAATATTAATTCTTTGAGAGAAATTGTTCAGATCACAGGCAAACCTCCAAATGTTATCTTGACTCATAAATTTCTTCATCTATCAATATAATAAAAAAAAATAAAAATCTCTTTATTGCTGTCAATGCATATTTTTTTTAATATATTTATTCTAATAATATTTTTTTTTAAGTTTTCTTGTCGCTAAATAGTCTTCTTGTCGCTAAATTTATTCTTCTTGTCGCTTCTTGTCGCTAAATTTATTCTTCTTGTCGCTTCTTGACGCTTCTTGTCGCTAATTAGTGAGACCCCATATTATTTTGTTTTTGATCTAAGATTACCTTCATCCCCAGCCTTCAAAAAGTCTTCAAGACACTGAATGGTCTTTTGTTTTATATTGTCAACACCTTCTTGTTTCTGTGTTTCTACTAGTAAATCGATGAATGCTCCTCTGAACAATTCACAAAGAGACTTTCCGACAACTTTGGGTTCTTTGTTATTGGCAAAGTCTACCCATGTGTCTGCTAAAAAATTGCGAAACTCATGAGCATTGCAGCCTTGAATATCTAAGTAAATGAATGCCGTCGACCACAAGTTACTCTTAAGATCTCTTAAGAAATCATTTTCAATAAATCTTTGCAACGACTTTGCCATCGCCTTTCGTTTGTTTTGGTTTTGACAGGGGAATACAAGTAGCAGGGAAGGAAATCAATGCTATGTATATGTATGTATGTACTGGTAGATTCCTCCGTTATTCGGAGCACCCCGAGAGCTGCGAGAGTACAGTGGAATCTGTGAACAATCCCTATCCAGAGTTATAAATTAATTGATGTCTTCTATTCATTGCCCCCCCCCCCCCCCCCAAAAAAAAAGGAGGGTAAAGGTTGGACGATAAATAAACTCATCATATATACCAGGATTTAAATTGTGTACGCCAGACGCGCGTTTCGTCTACAAAACCGGACTCACCAGTGACGTTCGTATAAAAAAAGTTATAAAGGCCAAATAAAGCTAGATAACAGTAAAGACTACATATCGTTTTACTTATACTGAGACTAAATTGGATTCAAAAGTAGGTGTACTTTCCAAATAATTTCATATGTTTTGCAGATTATACTTGATCAGAATATAAAGGGGTATCAGAATTAAGTAATATGTAAAAAGGATACCATAACTACCAAAAACAATTTGTTCATAATGCATTGTTAGAAATATTTTCAGCATAAAATACTGTTGATAACTATATGTTTATTATTGAACACTCAAACTCAACAAATAATTAACGTTAAAAAATGAATGATCTTGTTTTCTCCCATTTACATATCTCTCACCTTGAAAAACCCTTTGATCAATTATGATCAATTAGCCCAGACGTATGTACAATACATGTCATACAGATAAATTCACTACTGGAATGTCCTATTTTTGACATAGAAATAATTGTCCAAAATTTAGAACAAATTTTCTTCATTTGAAACAAACACGTGAATATCGGTAAATTTCCAGAGCTTTCGACTATTCCAGTGTCTTTTAGAACTAGGACCGCGAAAGCATGTTTGTCGTGAATTAAAAAAAACAGACACATCGGATCGTTGACGTATTTGTGATTATGACCGTAAAACTTATACAATGTCGATTTCTGTCGTTATTTATCATAACCCTCCAGAAGAAAATTTTCTTTTAATAAAGCCGGTATTATCTTAACATACACGCTGGACATATAAACTAAGGAATGTAAATTTGACTATTGAAAACTATTCTAGCCACGTTTGTCAAAGTTCCTAGTTTAAAGTCAGTCAGTTCTGTCAATTTCAAGAAAAAGACCCAGACCTGAAGCACATTTTCTATGTTCGTGGGTATCCTTAGTGTTATATGCACTATACTTCTTTCATAAGAAAACTTAAACAAGTCGGCCAGTAAGTAACCATGCATATGTCATACCAACTAGATCATGTAGCTGAAGGAGCATCTTCTAATCAATTAATTACCTATATGCATCGTATAATTGACATATCGAGATAAAAAATTATACGACAATCCACGTATTCATGGAATCGAAATCGGCCCGGTTTTTATTTAAAAAAAACTTTCAAACCGTCGTTACTCTTTGTACCGAAAGGGTTGATAACTATTGCTAACTTTTTATGAATGTACTTTTAATAAAAACAAAACACCTAAATGACCATGATGACCGAAGAATTCAAAATAAGGTAAACAAAATTCCTTGCTGGTTTTAGTTTTAAAACTACAATTTAGAACCAGTTCATTTATAGTACGCATGTTTCTAACGGCAATGTCCTTAAACCAAAGTCAAATCCAGTTTTAGCTAGCGACGTAACCATTAATCTTTGTGTCAATTTACCGTCCAGACAGGTCATACTGGTGAATCATGGCCACTATGGGAAGATTATATAAGAACTGCCTGTCCAACATTTGGAACAGATTTTACTACATTTTGATCACAGACGACACCATTATTAACGTTTTAACGTTTCTATATTTCACACTGCAATATTATACAATTATAGCCTTTGTATGAGGTCGATACAAGGATATATTGACCTGAAAGAAGTATATTGACTGAGGACGAAGTCCGAGGTCGATATACTTCTTTGGGTCGATATATCCTGTATTGACCTCATACAAAGTCTATAATTGTTATATTATTAATTTCCGACCATTTTTGTATTAAAATTGTCAATGTAATTTATTCGATCATTTGAATTTGTTGGAATTTTATGGATATCATATTGTCTCCTAGACAATAGCAACATATTAATTGTTATTTCATATATTTTTTATGTTGTTTTTTTGTTTATCTTATGTATTTAATTTTTTTTCTTCAAATAATCGATCATAAATATACACTTTTTATAAACTTTTAACAATATCATGAAATTCATTACATGACGTCACAAAGTATATCGGTTTTTAGATATTCTAAAAATAACCGTGCAATATGCTTTTTGCTATCCGCCGTTTTCTACCTACCTTCGAAAATATAGTTTAACATGTGACTATCCCTGAACGAATCAAATTAGTTAAAATATACGAATTAATAATATTAGCTGATATAAGTATCTGAGGGGCGTCAGCCCCGAAGATATGCGAGGATTACATCTGATTTACATAGAAGTAATAAAATAAATATTTTATCTTTTCTCTTGTTCTAAAAAGAGCAATTAGTTTTGATAAAACAGGAAAGGTGTCATTATCTCAAATTTTCCTGATGAAGTAACACTTTCAGAAGCTGTTTTGTAGTTATAGATTTGGAATGAAATCTCGATTGCGTCTATTTTTCTGTCATCAAGGTAATTGCTACCTTATCACTGCTTTTGTATGGTAATATGAATCTCTGTATTATCGTGTCTTTTTCTGGTTTAAAAGCCAAAATCTGAACTTTTTGCTGATAACTGATAACATTTCTGTGTAAATTAAAGAAAAGTTTCAAGTGTTCAAGAACAAACGTCACTGATTTTATAAAACAATGCGATAATTTCTTTTTCGCATACCTGGTTTAAGAAAAGTAAAAGAACAACTTGTTGGAATCTACACTGAATCAAACAAAGAGAACTCTAAAGACGGTCGAGTTTTGTTGAATTCCGAATTTTCAATTGACGATTTGTTTTTCGATGAGCACAAATTGTGCACGGCTTTTAAAAAAAAATAAAATCTTTCACTCGTACAAAGCATTTTTATTAAAAAGAAGTAATCTTTATATACCCCCCCAAAAAAACAAAAACTAAAAGATAGTAGTCTTTAGTATCAGCTACATTGACTACACTGAGAACAATGGGGGAAATATAGATTCCACCACTGCACAAGTGTATTACGATATTTCTCCATTCGAGACAGTTAAATTTTAATATTTAAAGCGCGAGGCTTGCCGAGCTTTTTGAATAATTAAAATTTAACTGTTGAGAGTGGAGAAATATCGTAATACACGAGTTATAGTGGTGGAATCTGTTTCTCTAATGATTTTTATCCTTCCTTTTTCAAAGATTTGCAGAAAGTTGTGTTCTTTATATGTGACGTCATCAGGCATGGTCACCTTTTTTCATGACGTCACAATAGAAAAATCAGAAGAAACCAAGAAAATTTGACGTCATAATTAAAACATTTCTACCAATCATTTGCCGAGAACACACATTTCACTAGTGAGGAGAACAATTTTTTCACAATCGGTTGGAAAATGTGAAAACAGTGAAAAAATTAGAGAAATCCTTCTACCCTCTTTTTAATTAAATCTTCGTCGCCTTACTCGTTCTCACGATTCTAATGAGCTAAGTTTAATCGAGTAAAAAAAAACACCCTTCAATCATTACGGACAACAGAAACTCTTTCGCTGTTGCTATGGTAACAGGTGGCGAAACCTACAAACACATGGGCTGATTTGCTATCACATGACGAATGCAATTGTATTTTAAACGCCATTCACTTTAATTTTAGGGATTTAAAGATTTAGTTGTATTGATAATTAACGCATATTTACCAGAAAGAGTTTCAAACAAGAAGTATCAAAATCAGACTCTATTTTATCATTGCTTTAGAATTCCCAAATATATTCAATAAACACTCTGACAGAAGAAAAATTTTCCAGTTACACTTATAACATTTATCAACTTTCCAGAATAGTCAACATGTTAAAGGGACAGTATATTGCAGGAGGAGAAGAAAACACATCCGTTGCAGTGTCTTTTGAATTCAGCCAAAAAAGAGTAATTCCGTAGTAATTCAATACGAGTTTTCCATTATCTTAACCAGTTTTTAATATGATATTAACTAGAATTGACATAGGATGGATATATAGTAATTTTCATCCTCTTGTCAAAGATGTGAGCAAGGACATTTATGTGATGTACAAGACAAAATGATTTAGAACTCTCTTTCAACTTTGTTATTTCGTATGCTTTACTATATGCTTTACCATCCGATCTCCACCATCGACCTTAATATATGGTATTGTCAAATTGTCCATCACGACACGTTGCTATGACCTTGGTACATATTCCTTGTCGTCTTTTTATATGGACACGAATTAATTGCATGGACATATGTATATAAACGAAGTAACAATTCCACAATTTGGAATTCTTGAGAGACAGCAATTGCAATTAAGTCATCTTGGGAAGTAAGTATCATTGAAATGATAATAATCTTATTTCGAAGTTTTACTGTGTTAAAAATATTTTTTAAGGAGTGTGTTTACTACAGACAACATGGACAAAAAAGAAATGAATCAAAGAAATAAAGATTTTAATCGAACATTATTTCCTGCATTTCTCTATATATAGTTATCTCTTGAATTGGTTATTTAACTGAATTAAAAATTAATAATACGGATGACACAAAAAAGTCACAATAATTTTTATTAGGTTTAAGCAAAACTGGTTTAGACTTAAACATATAAGTAAAATTAAAACTAAAAATTCTGCAACATATTGCTCTTCAAATGTTTTGGTTCTTATGCGTCCTTGGCTTTCAAATATTCGGCTTTGAGCGTTTCTGATGAAGGTTAATCCAGAAAAGCGCTTCGAAAGCATGAACTTTATAAAATGTTGTTTTCATTTTTTAATAAAATTTTTTATGTATATGAAAAAGGAGATGTGGTATGATTGCCAATATGAACGCTTTAAGAATTATAATAACTGATCATATATAGTAACTGTTGGAAAATTACAAGGTGTTGGTTA